GGATTACCTTGATTTCCAATGAGGAAAGTTGACAGCCCAGACTTAATCTTTGCCTTCCTGGATAGGGATGGTGAAAATCTGTGTATGATACTATGAATTATAATGAGTTAATAAAACATAATGCAGTGTATAATAGGCTGTGTCATCAGATCCTGTGATTAAGATTCAATGAAAATGGGACTGAAGAGGGAGGCACTGGGTGAGAGACTAAGAATTTGAGTGGAGGAAAAAACAGAATGGATTCTATCACTGTAAGCCTGACTCCCCATCATGTCATGCAGTCAACAAGGGGTAAGCTTGCTGACTGCATTGACCACATTTATGGTCAATTGATTTTCAACAAGCAAAACAGAACAATTAAATGGGAAAAGAATAGTCTTTTCAACAAATGGTTCTCAGAAGAAAACATGAGCATAAATCTTTGTGACTGCATTTGGCAGTAGTTTCTTAGCTATAACACCAAAAGAAAAAATACATTAACTGGACTTCACCAAAATTTAAAACTGCTGTGCTTAAAGACACTGTCAGGAAAGTTCAACGGCAAGCCACCGAGTGGGAGAAAATATTTGAAAAGCATATATCTGATAAGGAACTTATACCTCCAATACACAAAGAACCCTTGCAATCAGAAAAAAAAAAAAATAACAACCCAATTCAAAAAAGGGGCAAAGAGTGTGAACAGACATTTCTCCAAAAAGATACACAAATGGCTAATAAGCTCATGCAAAGATGCATAAAGTCATCAGTCATTGTGGAAATGCAAATCCAAACCACAATGAAGTACCACTTCACACCACTAGGGTGGAACCTTTTGTCAATTAGAAAGATGGAAAATAAGAGTTGGCAAAGATGTGGAGAAATTAGAGCCCTCTTACAACACTGATGGGAATGCAAAATGGTGCGGCCACTTTGGAAAACAGACTGTTAGCTTCTCAAAAGATTAAGCATAGAGTGACCATATGGCCCAGCAATTCCACTCATAAGTATACATCCAAAAGAAAGGAAAACATGTGCAAACAAAAATTATACAGGAAAGTTCACAGTAGCATTATCAATAATAGTCAAAAAGTGGAAACAACCCAAAGGCCTATCAGCTGATGAATGCATAAATAAAATGTTCGGTCTATCCACACAATGGAATATTACTCAGCAATAAAAAGAAATTAAGTAAGGATATATGCTACAACAGAGATGAACCTTGAAAACATTATCTTAAGTGAAGGCAGCCAGTGACAAAAAACCATACATTGTGATCAGATTAATAGGAAATGTCCGGAATAGGCAAATCTATAGAAACCAAGTAGATTGGCATGGTTCCCTAGGGTTGAGCAAAGAAGGGGACACTGGTGGGCAATAGCTAAAGGATGTGGGGTTTCTTTTTAGAGTGATGAAAATGTTTTAAAATTGATTGCGGTGAAGATCGAGTAACTTGGTGAATACACTAAAAGCCACTGAATTGTATACTTTAAATGAGTGAATTGCTCACAATCGCAAAGATTGTGAATCAGCCCAAGTGCCCATCAATATACTAGTGGATTAATAAAATGTGGTATATGTATACCATGGAGTACTACTCAGCCGCAAAAAATGGTGGACTAATACCTTTTGTAACAACCTGGATGGAATTGGAGACCATTCTTCTAAGTGAAGTATCACAAGAATGGGAAAACAAATACCGTAGGTACTCCCTAATAAATTGTAACTAATTGTTCAACACTCATGGGCACATATGGAAGTAAAACTCAATGGAAACCAAGCAGGTGGGAGGAGGAAGGAGGGGGTGGGAAAATTCACACCTAAAGGGTACAATGCATGCTATCTGGGTGACGGGCACATTGTAACTTTAACTCAAACTGTACCAAAGCAATTCATGTAACCAAAACGTTTGTATCCCTGTAATATTCTGAAATAATAAATAAATAATAAATGAGTGAATTGCATGTTCTATTAATTGCAACTCAATAAAACTGTTACCAAAAAATAAAACTGATTTGGTACTAGTGATTTGGGGTCATGTGATGGTGTTCTGCTTGGTTTTAGATCACTGGCCAGAGTTCAAGACAAAAGAGAATCAACAGTATTCCCTTTCTTATAGAAACATGGTATATTCAAAAGCCATCCTTTTCATTAGTATCAAGTCCATAAAATTAAAAGAAAAATCTTTATTTCACTGGTCAAACCATGGAGAGAGTGATTTGGGGGGGTCCCAAAATTGATTAAAAATTACCTCATGTTTTAGGTTACTGAGCTCAATATCCCTTTTTTTTTTTTGGTTCTCCAGAAACTTTTATTGGACAAAGGTGTGGAATGACATGAATGACATATGGTATCTATGGTTTAATTAACAGGATCATTTATAAAACATCTTTACATTTATCTTATTTTTAAAATTCTTGGTTTTGAATAAACTGATGTCTTAAAATGGGCATGCTCCTATCCCATGCAACAAGCTGTTCAAAAATGAGCAGCTTGCAAATCTATCATAACGAGACCTTGAATAAAACATTCTTATAGTGAGATCTAAGAAGTAGTTCAGTTTGAGAATTTGCTTCTGATTCTGACTTTCCAAAATAAAATATTCAAGGCAGAAAAAAAGCAAAACTTAAAATATCTAAAAGCAGATACATACTGATATTTTTACCCAAGTCACTGATTCTCAGAGTTTGTATGTGTCTCTGTGCTCTGTTGATTAAAATAAAAGCACTAGGCATCTTCTAACTAAAAGTTAATTAAACTTACCAGTCTGCAGCTAAAAAGTCACAGTGGAAGAACATTTTAAGGTGAAGAAAGCTTTTTAATCTTTCAGACTCAAATAATATGGCTGTATTTCAACTTTAAAGAAAGGTTCCATTATATAATTTTTGCATTGACATTTTAAAATATAAGAACAAGTCTTTGTAATACAATATATATTATACTTCAATATACCCAATATACCTTATGTGAACTAAAAACATGTCAACTTGCTAACTGTAGCTGGCATTTAAGTATCCAGCAAAAGCTATAAAGAAATTTCTTAACGA